CTTTTTAATGCGCTCAACCAACCCCACCCCTAACCCTACCCGTCATCGTGACATCACTCACTGCATTGTGTGCAATTGCGTCTGACATTGCATTTCAGTGATGCAATCTCAGCGTGCATCATAAAGGCTGCATCCAGATACTATTGGAATGAACTGCCAACTTATCCAGCATATGTTTTACACAGCAGATGCCCTTCCAGCTGCAACCCAGTACTGGAAAACACCCATACACTCTCACATTCACACACTTATACACTACAGCCAATTTAGTTCAATTCAATTAACTTATAGCGCATGTATTTGGACTGTGGGGGAAACCGGACCACCCGGAGGAAACACATGAACATGGGGAAAACATGCAATCTCCACACAGAAATGGCAATTGTTCCAGCTGAGGAGTTGAACCGGCAACCTTCTTGCTGTGAGGTGACAGTACTAACCACCGAGCCACCATGCCACCCCCTCTCTCCCAGATTCCGAATATTGTCCTGTTCTATATATGCTAAAAAATGCTGTGTTGGTGTAACCCAATATTTGCTGGGTCAAATAAAAGTGTAATATAAATTGTTTTGGAAAGTTTAACCCAATGTTGTGTTTGTTCATATTTGATTGAACAATGGGTAACAACAACCAAGTATTATATAGAGTGTAACAAACCACATATCAATGAAAAGCTCATTTATAAAAATAAAGACACTAATGACTGATCCAGGGTGTTGAGGTGGTGTAGTGGGTAGCACAATCGCCTCACATCAAGAAGTTTGCTGGTTCAAGCCTGTTTTCTCTGGGTGCTCCGGTTTCCCCGACAAGTCTAAAGACATGCAGTATAGGGGAATTGAAAAAGCTGAACTGGCCGTAGTGTATGTGTGTGAAAGAGTGTGAATGGGTGGTTTCCAGTGTTGGGTTGCAGCTGGAAGGGCATCTACTGCATAAAACCAGACCTGTCAGCATTGGGATGTCAGACATCCCAAGTCTACAGGAAGTTGGGGGAGTATCCCTCAAATGCATAGACACTCCCGGATGCACACAAATGAATGATAATCTCCCGGAAATCGTGCGTCTCCCACCCGGTCCTTAAATACCTTGCACACCCCTCTTTCCACCGCATCCCTCCTAGCTCTTCAGGTACGTCGCATGCAACTCACCCCCACCGCTCTTCAGGTATGTCGCTCACTCAAATCCCCCCCCCCCCCCCCCCTCTCTCTCTCTCTCTCTCTTTCTCTCTCTCTCTTCAGGCACCCACTATCTCGCTACCTCCCGCAGATCAGCTCAGAATGAGAAAATAAAGAATATGGCCACCATTATAAGGGATATTCGCTCTGCTTCAAATCGTGTGTACAGAGTCCATTTGGGAAAGTGTCTATTTATCACTATGGAGTGTGCCAGCTGACAGTCACGCACTGCTATATGACTGTTTTGAGGATTGCTTTGGAGGGGTGAAAAGGAAAGGGAATTCTGCTGTGTTTACATGTATTTCAAAGTGTTTTCATGACTAAATAAAGCGAAAGCACAGAACAGACTCATATTTAAGAGCAAAGAGTGGCCCCTGGTGGTTCGGCGGTATGGGTTGTGTATAGCGAGGATCGGCTCTTTAATGTTTATTGCCACCCTTCAGAGAAGACTGAAAATACAGGTGAAATATGGGAAAATACCTTTACAGGTTGATAGCAGGATAGAACAGTAAAATACGGAAGAATCCCATGGAAAACAAAAGAGTTGACAGGTATGCGTAAAACATATGGTGGATAAGTTGGCAATTCATTCCACTGTGGCGACCTCTGATGAATAAAGGGACTAAGCCGAATAAGAAAATGAATGAATGACTGATCCAGGGTCACACATAACCAATACAGATGAGGTCTGCAGAAGATCATCTCTGTGAAGAAGAAGAAGAAAAAGAAGAAGAAGGACAAATATGTGACACATCGAGCACGCAAACTTAAGTCAACTATTTGTTAACTAAGTTAATTAATAATAATTGAACAACAGATTACAAAAATGTAGTTTGGTCTGATAAGTATTGATTTCTGCATTAATGTTCACATAGTGGGGTCAGAATTTGGCAGATACAACAATCAATTATTTATCTGTTCTGCCTTGTATCATCATTCATTCAGCTGGTGGTGTAATGGTGGGGATATTTTCTTGGCACAATTGTTCAAATGCCACATAGCCAGATACTGGTTCAAGTCTCAGCTGAGTCAGTTGGGATTTCTGTGTGGAGTTTGTGGCCGTAGCATATGTGTGTTCATGTGAGAGTGTATGAGTGTTTCCCAGTACTGGGTTGCAGCTGGAAGGGCATCCTCTATGTAAAACATATGCTGGATAAGTTGGCGGTTCATTCCTCTGTAGCAACCACTAATAAATAAACGGACTATGCCAGGGGTGGCCAACCCTGTTCCTGGAGAGCCACCTTCCTGCAGATTTCAGTTGCTTCCCATTAAAATGGGTTGCAACTGAAATCTGCAGGAAGGTGGCTCTCCAGGAACAGGGTTGGCCACCCCTGGACTATGCCGAAGGAAAATGACTGAATAAATTAAAATATAGCAACACACAGTGGGTAAATTAAGTAAACACGTCATGATTCTAAAGATGCTGTTAACAAATTGATTATGGTAAACTCAAATTTTTTTCGTCACAGCGGAATGAACCACCAATTATTCTGGCATATGTTTTATGCAGTGGATGCACTTCCAGCCACAATTCAATATTAGGAAACCCATAAACTCTCTCATTCACACACGTACATTCACTTCGGCCGATTCAGTTTACGCAATTCACTTATAACCCATCTCTTTGAACCATGGGGAGAACAGGAGCAGTTGAAGAAAACCCATAGAAACACAGGGGAGAACATACAAACTCTGCACAGAAATACCTCCTGTCCCATCCCATATTTGAACTAGTGACTTTATTGTTAGGAGGTGACGGTGCTAACCACTGAGCCCAGCTCCAAACTATTGGTTAATTGTAACAAAAATGGAATGACACAAGGAGAAAGTACCAAATACTGAAATGCATTTAATTTCTTTGTATAAAAGGCTTTTAGTTTTTGGTAATGCCAGCTTCAATTAAAACATCTTGTATAGAGAATGGAGTCGTAATTCTATGTGGGGGAAGTTTCACTATTTACTATTCCTCGAAGAAAGCCAGTGCTTTGGAAAGAGCCAATTCTTAGACCACATGCTTCCGAACACCACGGAAAATATAATGGCTCATGGAAATATTCAGAGGATCTGTTGCATCACACAACATTCGCGTCGCATTGACCTAGTTGATCATTTGGTATCAAAAGTGGCTTATATGAAAGGTAAAAGTCTCTAGATTATGCTTATTTTGCCAAAATAAAATATGATCATGCCTTGATTTTTAATGATTTAATTAGGACAGTAACGTTTTACTTTGCTAAGACTAAAGTCTTATCACTTAACAGAAATAATGTAGAGTATAGAATATAACTGGTCATGGTGCAGTGAAAAATAATGAATTTTGTGTATGAGTCTCATAAGCTTTAATGACTGCATTCATACATCTCTACAATAACTCAAATAACTTATAAATAAATTGATCTGAAATGGCAAATAAAGCGTTCTTGCAGGAATCACAGTTCATCAAGATGTTTTGAATTCATTTTCAATGCCTCCTACTTCATCTTAGCCCATACATGCTCAATAATGTTCATTCAGGTGACTGGGCTGGCCATTCCTGAAGCACCTTGATGTTTTTTTGTTTTTAGGAACTTTGATGTGGAGGCTGAAGTATTATGAGAATGAGCGCTATCCTGCTGAAGAATTTGCCCTCTCCTGTGGTTTGTAATTTAATGAGCAACACAAATGTGATTTCTAATCAAAAAAACTGATTTCTGTCAAGATTCTGTCAAGAAGCCTGGGTCCATGCGGGTTTCAGGTCTTCAGCAGTATTTGTGACGATTGTGATGCAGTTAAACAGATGATTCATCAGAAAAATCTGTAAGGTTTCCAAATGATCAACTAGAAGTCAAGTTATTATTTGTTGCTCTTGCAACTGTGATTGACTGTAGACTTTAGTCAGGTAGTGCAGATGTTGGACTAAAGCAGCTAATATTAATTTACACTGACAAAAGGCAGGGTTGCTTTCTAAATACTGAGAGATTTCAACTGCTGTCTGGACTTTCCATGCTTTTTTACACATCACGTTTTTCAGTTTGTTTGTTCCCGTCATTAAATTGTATTAGTTTTGTTTTCTTTGTATGTATTGATTACTTTGGTTGTTACTGAGATCTGTTGAAAAGTCAACAACACCTTTAAAATATGTTTTATAAGACAAATAAGTGTACTTATTTACCTGCTATAATAAAAGTGTCCACAAGACTATTCATTTACACGTTTTAAACTCATGATCGTTTCCATAAAACAGGGCACAGACTACAATTACAAAAGTACATATAGTAAGCACTTCACTATATGAGCGATTACATTTCATGAGCATGTTTATTGTTTAAAATACAATTTACAACCCCCTAAAGCTAACGGAATAAATCTCAAACACAACAATCATAATGTCACATAACAGTTGAGTGAGTTTCACACAGAAAAACTGTCCAATTCATTATTAACCACAGCTAAATAAAGTTATTATTAACATCATCTGTGAGAGGGGAAAAAATAACATGAGACAAACCATTTATTACTACAGTAACATTGCATATATACTTCTTAACAGCTTAGTCTGGAGTGGAAAGTCTGAGGGTAACAATACAGAAATGAACATTTCAAATGTGTCAGTCACATCACCTTCACCGAAAATGAGTGTTGTCTGAGGAGAAATGACAATTTATGCTCATCATTTAGAGATTAGAACGGATTCGAACAAAAAATACTCATTAAAGTGATTGTTCACCCATACATGATTATTCTGTCGTCATTTACTCATCATCCACTTATTGCAAACCTGCTTTTTTATAGTGAACTTAAACATGACACACTAAAGAATGCTGGAAAAGGCCATTGACTTCAATAGTATTTTTTTTTTGTTCCCACTATGGATGTCAATGTCTGCTTTTTTGCAACATTATTCAGAATATCTTGTTTTGTGTTTAACAGAACCGCTTGAGTGTGGATAAATTGTCAGGAAATTTAAAATTTTTGGTGAACTATCCCTTAAAATGAATAAACAATGGTCAATTGATTGATAACACCATGTTGATAAATGGATACTGTATTGATGACAGGATTATTTGCTACATCAGGCCTGTGTAGAAGATCTTCAACATATTTCCAGCACTGCTCCACTTCCACCATTTTCCAAGGCACAAAATGACAGCACAGAGGCCTCTAGTGGCAAATATGGAGAACAACATTACCATTATTTTTGTGCTTTCTAATGCAACCAACAAAAGTGTAAAATGGAAACAAAAGGAAGAATTCAGACAATCTGACATGTGCAAGAACTTTCCCAGTTGTGTCCATGGCTCATGGATTATTTCTCATAGTGGTCAAGTGGGTAATGCTCTTTATATTGCTGGACGTGTCTCCACATGGAATCTTTCTGCTTGGCGATGTGAGGCACCATCTCATCGTAGACGTCGGTGAACATCAGGTCAGGGTTGGGTTTCAGGCGTCTCTCGGCTCTTTCGAAGGCCTCCATGACGAGTTTTCGTGACTGCTTCCTCCAGGCGCGCTCCTCATCCTCTCCCCACCAATCGCGGGCTGTCATGTAGTGGCGCAGGCGAGAGATGGGGTGGTCCTGCTTGTCCCAGTAGTTCACCTCGTCCACTGAACGGTAGGCAGAGCTGTCGTCACTGGTGCTGTGATGACCGATCCTGGATAAGGAAGAGGCAAAAGGATTCGCTTATTTTATTATAAAATTATTTTACTATATGTTGGGAGAGAAAAAAATATACATACTTATAAGATAGATAATAAATAAAAAAATGAGTATGCATATGTGTGTACATTAAAGTACAGTAAGTTAAAGTATTATTACTGGTCTATAAATCACTAAATGGCCTAGGACCTAAATACATCACAGATATGCTCACTGAATACAAACCTAACAGATCACTCAGATCTTTAGGATCATATAAACTAGAAGTTCCAAGAGTTCAGTCAAAGCAGGGTGAATCAGCTTTCAGCCACTATGCCCCTCGCTGCTGGAATCAGCTTCCAGAAATGATCAGATGTGCTCCAACATTAGGCACATTCAAATCAAGACTGAAAACACATCTGTTTAGCTGTGCCTTTTCTGAATGAGCACTGTGCTGCGTCCGACAGATTGCACTATCATGTTTTTCTCTTCTTCTTCATTCTTTTATATCACATTTTACCTGTTTTTATGTTTTGTTTTGTTTTTACGCATTTTTATTATTTGTTTTTATTTTTATTTTACTTGTTTCTTTTATTCTTGTTTATGTAAAGCACTTTGAATTGCCACTGTGTATGAAATGTGCTATATAAATAAACTTGCCTTGCCTTGCCTTACATGTAAAATAATATGTACATAAATCACTTTGCTAATAGAAAATCTCATGTGTAGAATCCATTATCCAAATCCAAATCAATTATTGTAAGGTAAAGACATGCTTGAACTATTCAGATTAGTCTGTTGTCTACAAATAGTTTTTTTTTTACTATAATTATGCATTTATTCTTAACATGGACTAAAATTCTACCAATGCTCTGTTAATTGTGAGTGAAGTGAAGATATCGTTTTACCCATACTTAAAATGGGTCCTCTGCTTTTAACCCATCCAAGTGCACACACATTTTAAGTGAGTTAAAAAGACACAAACACAGAGAGTGAGCAGTGTATCGAAGGTGGAGATGAAAGGCAGTTCATTAGTTTGCCCTTGTCTTTAATTCTTGCCGGGACCAAGAATTGAAGCAACAACCTTTAGGTTACAAATCCAACTCACTGACCATTAGCTCACAACTGCCCTCTAAAGGAAGTTTGTGACATGAGAGAGCTGAATCCTAAACACTAGATTACGGGTAAGGGCTATTATTTTTATTATGAGCAAAAGATATTTGGGGAAACATATTTAATTGCAATTAATATGATGATCACTTTCACATTCATACATACATATACATATATATATAGGGATATAACAGATCACGGGTGATCTGCTTTTCGAACGAATGACAACCCACGGTTCGGAACACACGTGAGACACAGATTAAAATTATAATTATTTTTTTACTTGTAGATTAATCCTAAATTTGCAATGATCGCAGAGAGATTGTGTTATTCAAATCTCATGTATGAAAGCATTTAGGTTTTTATGTAAAATATAATGATGATAGAAAGAAGTTGTGGTGGGTTATTTGGAATGTGGTGGGTTTCTTAGGTTAAAGGTGTTTTCTGTCACTACTTGTTTAGCCTGCATTAATGCATTCAGTAAGATGCACGATTAATCATTAAAAGATTAGGATTTTAACACCAACGCAACATAAATTATAAATGATGGTGATTTAAAGAGCCCCTATTATGGGTTTTTGAGAATGACCTCCAATGTAGTGTGTAGCACAGCTCTAAGTGAAGTGAAATATCCAGCTAAGGCTTAAATCTGAAAGTGGACAATGTTTAAAACTATTGATTCATTTATAAAAGAGTCCGTTTGGAAACAAATGAATCACTGAACGATTCATATGGGAGTCACTGGGATAATCAGGTAAATATAAATGCATATTATAAGACAATAAAAGTGTTTTTTGACCTTGCATGCATATTAGACTGTTGTTGGAGACCCTTACAACCAAAATATGAGCTTATTTCATGTATAATAGGGGCTCTTTAAATGTGTTTAGTAATCCTTCGAATCACTGCATTCAAATCTGAAAGAGATTGAGTCTTTAGTCGTTTGAGTTAGTTATGAAGTTACAAATAGTCAAATAACACAGAAGTACTGGGATAATGATTTATAAATTAAATAAAACCATCAATGTTTATGCTCAAGATTAAAATCACTGTCATATGCTCATGAAATGAAAGTTGTAGGCAGCAACTATATTATTTAACCAAAAGGAGGCAACAACCAGCCATTAAAATATGGCACTGAATAATTTTTTATTTAAAATTATACATCTATCAATGTAACACATTTTATAAGTGAATAACAGAATCATTTATTGAAAATAGGATTACAAATAAATATGAATTGTACAAATTATAGTGTCAGGTTTATACATTTAGCGTTATCAGCAACAGTAGTGAATTTTTCACAGTAACGAATATTTTACAGTTTATTTATTCAGCTGATAATGTCTTCTTTTTATCTTTAATAAAATTATAGGTTCTAAGTTTTGTTTATTAAAACCCAAAAGTGTCTTGCAGTACTGGTTTTGTAATGAAAAGCAAATTACATTTGTCTCCTTCCCTTTATAGCTGATCTGAAAAATGGTCCGATCTGTGACTAAAACACCATAATGTGATCTGAGCCATGTGATTTGTGATCTGTTACACTACTACTAATTTACATAATATACATATACATGTTTTTTTTTTGTTTTAAAGTCTGCAATCGACTATGACAATTTTTGCTTCTGTACACTTACAAGATGTGAAAAGTCTATTTTCTTCTAAAAGAGGAAGGATAAAACATTATTATTAACTGCAAGTACAGGCTGTCATACCCTATCATTATTTCTGAAGAATGAAAGCCCTCAGAAAAATCACAGACTGAACGGAGCGTCTAAACTTCCAACTGCTTGATGGCCAGATCATTCGCAAACTACATTTTTCAGCTAGATTAAGAAAACTAGCATCTCCTTAGTAACGTTTTGAAGGATGAGGACTGTAATCAATTTGATTAAAACACTCATGGACATGTAATATGACAGGTATATGCAGTCAGGTTAAGCTGGCTTCCAGAAAATACAGTTTTGTGTGAATACTTCTTTGACGAATATAGACAAAAATCCCAAAAAAAAGGTGTTAAATGATAAATGACATCTTTGCATCTACAAACTTAAGATGCAGCATTCAGAAATTTTATAAATAAATAAATAAATAAAACCCCCTTCACCATCTTAACGTCAAATTAAACAACTTGCTACTGCAAACTAAAGCTTTCAATGCTTGCCCTTCCTCTGAGATCTACTGATCCACTGCTTTGAAACGGATATTGATGAGCATCTCTGCATGTAGAAGTTGAAGTGTGAGGTGCTCTAAATTAGGGCTGCACGATATTGGATCTTGTGATATTTTATTTTTCTGCGAAAATATTGCAATAAGAATACAGTTTCACAAGAAGCTTTGAATAGCCTTATTTAATGGTTTTCTAGGGAGTCTAACAGTATTCTGGTACAGAAATTGCATAATTACAATGCAAAAATGGCTTTTTATTAATTTGCTTTGTCTTGTTTCTAGTACAAACATTTAAAAATTATGAGATCAAGTTACAATATTGTTTTGTTTTCAACATCAAAAAAAATTAGGCAAAAGTTGAGTTTTTCCTTAAAACAAGCAAAATTATCTGCCAGTGGAGTAAAATAATCTTGTTTTTGCTTTGAAATGTAGATATTTGGACTAGAAACAAGACAAAAATTATTAGAAAAACTTTATTTTATTACATAAATTGTATAAATAATGCATAAATGCAGTAAATAAATACAATTCTGTAGCTCCTGGTCAACTAAAATCCAGACTCAACTAGGGTTGGGCCGATAGTCGATGCCATCATCCATCGCCGATGGCCAACAGACAACACTATGCTGAGTCGGCATCGCCGATCCTCTGCCCCGCCCCCGTCATAAACCCGCTCGCGAAAAACATACACTTTGGCCCCGTTTACACTAATACGTCTTAGTGTTATAATGGTATTTTGGAACGAAAATGATCCACATCGTGTTTTACCTAGCATTTCTGAACAGCCCTCAGTCCGCTGAAAACGCACATCATGTGACCACGCACGCACGCACGCACGCACGCACGCACGCACGCACGCACACACACACACACACACACACACACACACACACAGCCACAGCCACAGCCACAGCCACAGCCACACACGGTCATGCGCTGCAGAGAGCAGTGCACGTCATACAGTTTATTAGGGATGTACCGCTAGATCGCATCTCCTTGTTGTTAAACGTGATATTCAGACATCCGAAGTCTCCCGGAAGTTCCGGGAGTCTCTATGCATTTGCGGGACTCATAATGCCCGCAAACGAGTGATAATCTCCCGGAAATCGCACGTCAGAAGTCACGCTCCCTTCTCACGTTCTGATTCCTCCTCGTTCTACAGACACGTTGCACGCACTCTGTCAACCCCCCTACCACCAACCGCCCAAAGATTTTTTTGGGGGGTGTTACTGTATTGAGCCATTCAGCCAGGGAATCAAATCTACATAAGGAGGAAGATCACATTTGCATATAAATGGCAATAAGCACATAAACTGAATCCAAACCCTAAAGGGAAGAGTATAATCAGCTTAAATTGTATGGATTCACTACACCAAGAATGTCATGTGTATGTCTGTGTGAGAAACCAAAGACACACAGTTTTTTTCTATGAATAAGGCAAGTAGCTCACTCCCACAAACTTTATAATGCTTCGCGAAAGCTTACGCTGCAAAATATTGTGTTGATAAATAAGTTTACAGCACATCTCCTGGTGATTTCTGCTGAGTTTGCCACCCTACACACAATAAAAAATAGGCCCTTCCTCAAATGGCACCCCTGTGGTCTCCTGCAGGTCTATACTGAGCAACAGAGGCTGTTTATAGGTAATGAAATGCTGTGGAAGCTGGTTTGATCTACTGTACCTGTAGGTCATCGCTTCAATGAGGAAGGGCTGGTTTTCAGCCACAGCTCTGCGGCGGGCCTCTTTCGTGGCATTATACACTGCAAATACATCATTGCCATCTACACGGATCGACATCAGGCCATATCCTGGACCTCGAGCAGCTGTAGGGAAAAAAATAACGTTTAAAAGAATAAGAATACTGAAACTAAAAAGGTTTTCATTGGAGACTCTGCTGTGCGGATTCACTCACCAATACCATCTCCTCTGTACTGTTCATTGGTGGGTGTAGAGATGGCATAACCGTTGTTGCGGCAGAAGAATATGAGAGGACACTCAAGTGTTGCGGAGAAGTTAAATCCAGCATGAGCATCTCCTTCACTGGCAGCTCCTTCTCCAAAGTAACAGATCACCACGCGGTTTGCGTTCTCCCTCTTCACTGCGTACGCTGCTCCAGCCGCTATCACACAGAATATAGAGACGTTGGTATTTACATTAACTGTACTTTTAGGAACCTAATTTGCACCATTTGTGTATGGCGCAATTCCATTTTCCTGTAACTTCTATATCACTATAAACTAATGTTAAGCAATCCAACTGTGAACAAATAATTTTTTGTTGTGTACATTTGTAAATTTTTTAGTCTTTCTAGGATTTTGCAGGGAGATTGTTTTATATAGCTGTTTTATATAGCTGTGACCTAAAATGATTTTGTGCAGACATTTCACAGGGATAATCAAATATTGTTGTCTGCTATACTTGGTTCCTACATTCAACAACGGCATCTAGCAGTTTTGGCTGTGAACTTGCACAAAAACAAGCACAGATGTCAACTCAACAAAGTCAAAAGAGCAAGTTACTGCTCCATTTATTGTTTGACGCTTTTTTGTAAAACACATAATTTTTATATGGTGCAAATTCAATTCTCATATAACTTCCATGACGCAATTAATAGCAAGCAAATATCAGGCAAGCAAAATGTGAACAAACCCATTTTCAGTCCTTTCAGGATTTTGCACAGACATTTCTTTTTAATATTGATTTTGTGCTAGAGTCAACAGCGGCATCTAGCAGTTTTGGCTGTGCAAAACAAATCACAAATGTCGACACAACAAAGACAAAAAAAGCCTGTGCTGTACAGTATCAGAAGTTACCACTTAATTTGTCAAGTTGTTATTTAATGCTTTGCTGTTTTTGGCAAAACATATCATTCATATGCTGGGTTAGAGCGGAGATTGATCTCATTACTAATACATGCTGCACTGTCATTTAATAGTTCATATATAATGTAGTTTTTCAATAAAGAAGCATTCAATTGATTAAAATAAAGTTTAAACTGTAAACATTTCAGTACTGGTTGGTATAAGAATAATCTGAGCCCTGACTCCTGTGAATTATAGTGTATAAAAAAATGACATAGTTAAAAGACATGTTTACTTCTCACCTTGGGGGATCTGAGTGGCAAGTGGTGAAGAGATGGTGACAAAATTGAGGTCTTTGGAGCCGTAATGAACTGGCATTTGTCTGCCCTTACCAAGGTCATCAGCGTTGGCATAGCACTGTGCCATAAACAGATCCAGAGGGAAACCTCTGTACATCAACACACCTAGAGAATTCAGGAAAAAGGTAATTATATCTAGTCTAAAATGACTACAAAAATATCACATTTAATAACTTTATCACACTTTGCAAAAAGGTTTCATTAGTTAATGCATTTACTAACACAGCATATATTACTCGTAGTTCAACATTTACTAATGCATCATCAACATCCAAAATCATGCTAGTTAACATTAGTTAATGCACCCTGAGTTAACATGAACTAACAATGAACAGCTATATTTACTTAACGTTTACAAACAAAAATACTATAATAAATGTATTGCTCATTGGTTGTTCATGACAGTAAATGCATTAACTAACAATAACAGAAATATTATTTTAAATAAAATATAAAGATTTTCTATTTATTTATATCAACTTCATCGAGTGACTTTTTTGTTTTCCTGTAAAAATATTTTCTTTATTATGTTTAATAATTTAATTTTGTTTTAAAATGTTTTTAATTTTGGGGATAATTACACAATCATTTGCTGAGAGCATTTTTCCTGGTACCTTGGCTGACTTTGCCAGTCATTTTTATGCCTGTGAATAAATGATTTTATGTCCCTGTCTTGATTAGCAATTAACAGAAACACTCAACGTTTTACTTCAGAATGGATGATTCTACGACGAAAAAGCAAATGGCTAATCTATAAACGAATCATTGAATAATTCAAATGAGTTGTTCATAAACATGTTCAATCACAAATACTGCAGTGCTGCTCTGATAAACAAAAATGTTTTGCCTTCAGCTTTGGGATCATCTTTAGAGAAACAGAAAAACAGACAGTATTGCATAAAAAAAATATATATATTTTTTTGTTAGGTATTATTTTGTTCTTTGTTGAGCGGTTGCAAAAAATCTATAATCACATGCTGATATTACATGAAATGGCATGCTTGGATGTTTGATATTACCAATTTCATGATAATAGACTTTTTTATGCTGTAAGGCTTTTGAACTCCTAAGATGCGTTTTAAGTGACATATATACATATATACAGTATATAGAGTTGAAGTCAGAATTATTAGCCCCCTTTGAATTTTTTTTTTCTTTTTTAAATATTTCTCAAATGATGTTTAACAGAGGAAGGAAATTTTCACAGTATGTCTGATAATATTTTTTCTTCTTTTTCCTTCTTATTTGTTTTATTTCTGCTAGAATAAAAGCAGTTATTCATTTTTTTAAACACCATTTTAAGGACAAAATTATTAGCCCGTTTAAGCTATTTTTTTTGATAGCCTACAGAACAAACCATCATTATACAATAACTTGCCTAAATACGCTAACATGCCTAGTTAACCTAGTTAAACTAGTTAAGCCTATAAATGTCACGTTAAGCTGTATAAAATTGTCTCGAAAAATATCTAGTAAAATATTATTTACTGTCAAAGATAAAATAATAATAATAATTATTATTATTATGATAATACTAGCAAATAAAAAATAAATCAGTTGTTAGAAATGAGTTATTAAAATTATTATGTTTAACAATGTGTTGAAAAAAATCTCTCCGTTAAACAGAATTTGGGGAAAAAATAAACAGGGGGTCTAATAATTCTGACTTCAACTATATATATATATATATATATATATATAGCGCCCCACCAGTGCTGATATACAGCCATAGCACACTGCTACGAGTGTGATATAGCGTTTATACAACACTTTGATGGCACAATCTTATACATAAAAAAGAAAATCAAACACAAAAACCCTTTTGTATTAGGAACTACACTGCAAAAAATGCTTTTCTTACTTAGATTTGTTATCTTGTTTCTAGTCCTAATATCTAAAAATTCCTAAATTAAGAAGAATTTTCTAGACAAGAAAAACATATTGTCTTGTTTTGAGAAATAATATGCCAATATTAAGTGAGTTTTTCCCTAAAACAAGCAAAATAATCTGCCAATGGGGTAAGCAAAATAATCTTACGTCAAAAGAAAAAACAAGATTAATTTTGACCCGTCTACAGAGATTTCTCACCAGACTGTTGTGTTTGCGATAAGGAGAGACAAGGCTGAATCCAGCTTCTTATTAATATAAATATTATAATATAAATAATATAAATATTAAATATATATATTATATATAAACAAATGTTATATATATATATATATATATATATATATATATATATATATATATATATATATATATATATATATATATATATATATATAAACCCCTAAAAGTCAGGTATTTACTTTAAAATAAGGGTTCAGTAGTAAATGTTTGTTAATAGATTTAATAACATAAACAATTTTGTACACCACTTAAGCATAGGTCAGCTTTTACTAATGCATTAATAAATTCAAAGTTGTGCCTGTTAAATTTGTTAACAAGAACAAAAAATGAACAACTAACTATGGGCCATTATTTTAAAGTGTCATCATAAAATAATATAAAATAACTATAGTAATAATAATAATAATAATAGTAATAATAAATACTAATAAGCCCTAAGTATTATACATATTATATCACTTTAGTATATCCAGCTTGCAAAAACTCTTACCAGCTTCCCGGTATTGGCCAAAGACCAGATCAGAAGGGTCAAGAGCTGCAGCGCTTCCAATATGTGTGCCCTCCTCACCGTAATTGGTCATGTAGAATGAAATTCGGCCCTTGAGTAGAAAAAAAACACACCAAATGTTTTTACTACTAACATTTAGATATCACTCCGTAATCTATGTTTAGTCGTTTTATTTAAAAGCATAAAATCAACTGCATCTCTCACCTGCCTCTGAGACTCATAAAGAATACGGTCCATTGTGTTTAGTAACGTCATCTTCTGATAGAAATTCAAAACGGTCTCTTTCGAGAGCTGAAACAAACAAGTAATGTGAAAATCATCCCTGGCATGTTTTCTTTTTACGTGCACATATGTGGTTTAGTTTCTTAGCACTATTCAGTGTTTTTTATTATTTAGTAACTTGTTTCCACCTATGACCTTCACATTATGGATCAAATACTACACTGCACACCTGCGGATCTTCGGAGGGATTGATGATCTGGCCCTGTCTGTCCATCACTCTGTAGACAGGGATTCCTGAGATCACATTGGGCTGAATAAACTCCAGGTGATCAATAAACTCCGCCGAGGCACCAGGAAACTGCGGCTTCTCGTCGGAATCATCAATCGACTGCTGACGAAGAACTCCCTTAAAAAACAAACGAACTAAAAATCAAAACCTGCATCAAATGAGATTACAGTACATAATAAACAATCAGACAAAAATTGCTTGAATTTTTTTTTATTAGAAACAACTAAGCTCTTAACAAGCAATTCCTCACCAGGAAGTTCAGTTTTCCACTTATACGTAGACTACTGATAAGTTTGCTTATGTTTTTCTTTGTTTTGGTTTGAGGGTGATACATGTGCTCTGATGAAAACAAATATAAAAATGTGTCAAAACTTTTTTTTTTAAGTTATAAAATCAAAGGAATTTAATTACACTATTTATGTGAATAATTTTATGATTATATATTTGTTTGCATTTATCTATAGTAATGCTATGGAATACAGGTGCCAAACTCAGTTCCAAATGGGCCGCAGCTCTGCACAGTTTAGTTCCAACCCTAATTAAACACACCTGATCAAACTAATTGAGTCCTTCAGGCTTGTTTGAAACCTACAGGTAAGAGTGTTGGAGCAGGGTTAGAACTAAATTGTGCAGGGCTTCGGCCCTCCAGGAACTGAGTTTGACACCCCTGCTATAGAACTATAGAAAATGTAATGAAGAACACTGTACACCAGGGGTCACCAACCCTACTTCTGGAGAGCTACCTTCCTGCACATTTCAGTTGTAACCCTGACCAAACACACCTGTTTGTAATTATCAAGTGCTGCTTTAGGTACTATTAATTGGTTCAGGTATGTTTGATCAGGGTTGGGACTGAATTTTGCAGGAAGGTAGCTCTCCAGGAACAGAGTTGGCCACCCCTGGTGTACTACACAAGCTCCAGAAGTAAATTGTAAAACAATTTATATTTTTAATAGTCAGACCAAATGTGGGTCAATTTGCTGATTTCATGTCAGTTGACATTCTCATCTAGCATCAGTTTTTGGAAGTATCTTTGGGGAGTCACATACATTTTTCAGTAGCGTGACAGTACCTAGCTTCTTTTTTTCCAGCAAGAAGCTTGTAGCAAGTAGTTTGACAAAAGCTACATGGACCCTTTTTAAAACCCTTTTATTATGTGTTTAACGATCATCAACATCGGAATACCTTGAAAGTTTTTAAGATTTAGATATAAAAAAAAAAAAGTATAAACATTTATATATATATTTCCGAATATACTATATCATCTTTGTTTCAAATCCCAAAAAATGAATAACCGCTTTTGCGAGGCATTTCTAAAGTAAGGTACAGTAAATATGACATTATTCTGTCTTTTGTCCACCGTTTTCAGTCTCACACTGTTTTTTTTTTTTTTTGAAAGTCTTGATAACACCATTGTGGAGTTTTTATTTTATTATTTCAGCAAATAAGATTATTCAAAAGATATTTGTGGTATTCTAACTGCGCTCTAAGTTTTCCCAACTATGATGACTTCCACTACTGAGAAACCCCAAAAATGTCAAAGAGATTTATTGGATTTAGATTTTTGCATACTACAAAAGTGCAATAGAAAAAAAAACAATTATTGGTAATTCACACATCACAGTTTTACATTTATTTATTTATAAATGTATTACTGTCTTTTGTCAATTACTTTTTTTTTTTTTCAAGTAACAGTAACAGTTGGAATTGCAGTCGACAATTACACTTGGCAATTAACCCAAAGTAAAAAAAAAAAAAATGAAGCACGGCTCCATTTGATAAGGAATTTAATTAAATGGAGCCGTGCTTCATTTTTTTTTTTTTTTAATTTTACCTAATTACTTTGCTGTTGCAATGCTACATTTGTTGCGGTTTTGTACTTTGACTCTTGACAGTCTGAGAAATTTGGAAACTATGTGCAATCAAACATTAATCTTTGACATTATAATCTTATTGCACTGTTTAAAGTACAATATTATTTACTTATAACTAATGTTTTAAATTTTATGTAAAATACGCCTTTGTGAAAAATGTAGACTAGCTACTTTTAGGAAGTGGTATAGGAAGTATTGTAGCTAGCTACTTTTCTGAAAGTGTAGTTTGACCGTAGTAGTATCCCAATTAATTAATAGCAATAAAGGTATTATTTCATATGAACATTTTTGTAGTAAATATAATATAATTTTTAATCAAGTAAAATTTGAATCTATTATTAATTTCTATGGCTTTTGTCTGTCTAATTAATCTAATTACCCCTGTAACCCCAACTGTTCCTCCTGTGTTAATCGAAGGCTGTGATTTTAAAGAAAGTGAATGTAAAAAACAAAAAAGATTAGAAATCTATTTAACAACATTATATATCCACTAGCGTTTTACAGAAACTCAATTTCTCATAAATTATCTAAAGATACCATTCACATACTTAGAACTAAATACCTAAAGTTTCCTCTCCACTTCAAGTTCATTTTAAAATTTTAAGTGGGATAATCCGTCAAGTGAATATTTAAGAATTAGATTTGGATTTGAGTCTAATAAATGTATGTTTTTTCATGATTTTAAAACAGCAGATCATTTGTTTTATTTTTACTGTATGTTTGTGGATGGCTTATGGTCAGATGTTTGACTGGCTTTACCCAAAGATTCCACACCTCAGGATCTTTTATGTGAATGACAACATTTATGGACTTGCAATGGACAGTAAGGAAAATGCCTTTCTAATTAACAACATCCTTATGCTTGGACAATTTTACATACATAAATCAAAATATTTAAAAGTGAAACCAATGTTTTGTGCTTTTTATAATGAGATTATTTCATATAAAAAAATCTCTCAAGATAATGAAAACAAAAAGTGCAATTAATCTTCTATTTTTAATAGAAATGTATAAATTATAGGAAAACCCCTGGTCCTTTTTATTTATTTTTTAAGATTTAGTTATGTTTAATAATTTACTTATAGATATTTTATATAACAAATTATTTGTTCTTTATTTGCACCTGTTTCCTTTTTTGTAATATAAAGGTGTATTGATAATGCCAAGTTGTACTTTACTATATGTTCAATAAAAAATAAATGAAAAGTAAAATTAACAAAAAAGTTGCCATTAAACAGGGATAATAAGAAGAAACTTGACTGTACAAAAAAAAAAAAAAAACAATACAGAAGCTTAGCTACTTGTCCTGATGGGTAGCTTTGTAGGTTATCAAGGTTTCTACAGGTTTCTCAAAGTCAAATTTAAGACTTTTTAAGACCTTTTTAAGACCCTTATGAATGAAATTTCAGACTTGTACAGGACTAAACCGTAAAGATTTGTGCTTGCCTCATTAAAAAAAAATCTAATTACTTAATACTTAAATGTGTCAAAACAAGCAAACCATACATACTTTTCTTTGACAAGCTTTAAAAACTTTATTAACCTAAATGTACAATAGTCTTTTTAAGGTCAGTGTCCCCGCCACATATGGTCTACAAATCCCCGGAGAACATAAAAAAGTTATTATGAGGAACCATATTGTTAAATAGAGTTTTGTTAAAAGTTTTATTGGGGTGTGTTATTGGTGAGTGTATACTGTATACAGGTGTTGGCCTGATTTGGGAAGCTTTACATGGATATTAGAAAATTACAACCTATTTGTAATGATTTAAGACCTACAATTCAATATTTCAGCAAATTTAGAACTTTTTAAGGACTAAAATTTTATTTTGAAAATGTAAAACATTTTAAGACTCTGTGGATACCCTGTCAAAGTAACTTCCCCAAAAACTGGCAGGGAATAAAGTGAATTACCCTAAGCTAGGGATGTACACTGCATAAAAAGTTAATTCTCTTTAAATTTGTGTGTATGTGGTTTGCATATTGATAAAGTCACATATTCGCATGAGAAGAATTTACTATCACCTGTAATTTAAATGTGCACAAGACATTAGCTCATAATTAAGATCCACTTTAAATATGAAACAATTTAATAATGCAAATAAGTTGTAAAATGTAAAGATTTTTTAATGACCCATAACAGTCAGGATTAGTGTTGTTTTTTTCATCCACACGCCCCCTTCAACTAGCCAATCAGCTCTGAGTATAAATCCACAGACATGTGAAGGTTGAAGGATCCATTAACTGTTACCTACAACAATCTTCAGACATCTGACCACTAGTTATTGCATTTAAAACAATCATGACCATGTGACATTGAGCACTATTTCTTTTGTAGGTCAGATGAGGAACACCTAACTTATACATTAGCATTTACATTATTAAGACAGTTCAGTAGCTTTTATGTTTGAAACTAGCATAAAACGTCTTTATACAGATGTTGTTAATATTAGTCTCATACAATTCTAGGAAATGTTTTCGGTCTCCCACGGCTACACACACTTCATACAACCTGAATGGCAAGTTTTGCTAATGTTAAAAGTCCGTTGGTGGCGTATATGCAGCTGCCATAAACGTAAGACTTACATTGACGCGGAATCCCCTTTGTTGGAGAAGCGTTGTTGCTTTTAATGCTGTGTTTTGACGAATTGCATGAAGCCCAATGCCATATAATTTCTTCACAGCTCTAGCAGCCGCCATCTTTACGTCAAGTGCGTGTCTCTAGCGTCTTTTCCCTCCTCGTCTCTGGAAATCCAACACACTGCGCCCCCTACAGGAAAAATGTTACTCCTCATTTTTACGGTTTTGTCTGAGAAATGTATCCTTTTATGTACATTTTAAATTTGATTGGGGTCACGGTAGTGTGTATAACTAAAAGGAACAAGCAGAAACGTGCTTATAAAGTCGCTATACATGTGTCATTACATCCTTAATTCCGTTAGAGGGCGTAAGTGCACTGCTAACATGTGTCATGTCGTCATTATTGTGCGCTCAAAACAATGACCCATTTATGGATGCGACGAGCAGATTGTGCATGAGGACCGAGATGGAGCTGGAGCGAAGTTGTCCAGTTTTAAGAGAATATGGAAGTGAACAGAGTTTGTTATCAAGACCTGACGGGTCGTCCACGTTTGTACAAGGTAATTTATAAATGTTTAATGTAATTTATTTCTTTACTCATGTCATAGCAGTTATTTATCTGTCAGGCCAAAGAATATCCAGAGATCTATTCCATTCATTTAAATATGTATCGTTTTGAATTTGTAAATGTGTTTTTAGGGGACACGAGTATCCTGGCTGGAGTTTATGGACCAGCTGAGGTTAAAGTCAGCAAGGAAATATATGATCGGGCAACTGTAGAGGTCCTTATACAGCCCAAAATGGGGCTTCCAAGTATGTTTTTAAACAGTTTTATTTGCAGCCATATTTTGACAGTAATTGCATTATTTATTAATATTTTTTAATAAAAACGTGTACATGCAAATATATATATTTAATCGCGTCATTGGAATGGAGTTTAGTTTTAATTAATTTAATGTTATATGTCATGTTATGACAATATTACAAATTTATAAAAAATTACCTTTATCTTCAACAAATCAACATATTTGAAAGATTTTTTCAACACATTTCTAAACATATTAGTTGTAATAACTCATTTCTAAAAATGGATTTATCTTATCTTTGCCATGATGACAGTAAATAATATTTGACTAGATATTTTTCAAGACACTTTTATCCAGCTTAAAGTGACATTTAAAGGCTTAACTAGGTTAATTTGGTTAACTAGGCAGGTTAGGATAATTAGGCAAGTTATTGTATAACGATAGTTTTTTCTGAAGATTATCAAAAACAAAAAAAAACAAAAAAAAAAAAAAAAAAACAAAGAGACTAATAATTTTGATCTTAAAATTGTTTTAAATAATTTAAAAACTGCTTTTATTCTTGCCGAAATAAAACAAATAAGACTTTCTCCAGAAGAAAAAATATTATCAGACATACTGTGAAATCTGTTAAACTTCATTTGGGAAATATTTTTAAAAACAATCAAATGGGGGTTAATAGTTCTGACTTCAACTGTACATTTACACTACTGGTCAAAATTTTGGGGTCAGTAGGATTTTTAAATGTTTTAAAATAAGCTTGTTCTGCTCACCAAAGCTGCATTTATTTAAACAAAAATACAGGACATATAGGACAATTGTGATATGTTATTGCACTATAAAATAATAAATTATATTTTATATAAAATCATTTATTCCAGTGATTTTACACATAAATTGTCAGCTTCCTTTAGTCTTCAGAGTCATGTGATCTTTCAGTAATCGCTCTGATATAAATTGTTATTATTATTGCTGTTATTATGGGGGTAATGGTAATAGTAATAAAAGTAGTAAAGTCTGGAATAATAACTTCATTTGAAACTACACACAATAAGAAAGCAGTTATTAATTAATTTTTTTTATTTTTTTTTACTTAATAAATGCTGCCTTGATGAACAGAATCATTTTCTTTAAAAAAATCGATATGAAAAAGTGTGTGAGATCTACATGTCTACATGTATATTCATCTATTTATTTTTTGCTTTGTATTATTATCATTGCACTGATGTTGGATTAACTTAAATCTGTCTGCATTTAGCATATCAGCTATAATGTGAAAGACTGATACAGATAATTAATAATTAAATAATAGAAACGCATTGCACATCTTTTGAACAATCTAAAGTTTTTACAAAATAACAAAATACAATATATATACAAATATCAGGCATGAATCTTTTATGTGCATTATGCCAGTTGTGCACTGGAAAAGCAGCTGGTGTGCACCATTAGTTTGGGTTAGTTTGGGATAAAACATCTTTCTTGTTCAAAAAAAAAAAAAAAGATTTAGTTTTTTTTTTTTTAAAGCAGAAATATGTATAATTTACAGATAGCAAACTGCACTGGCTTTTTTCGGTTATTTCAGGAAAGTTCTATTATAGCAAAATTGTTTAGTGTTATTAAAAGAAAATCCCCTAATCACCTTTGAACATTGTCATATTGCTTTTTTTTGTCTTAAAACGTGCCTCTCTTAAAATGTTAGACATTTGAATTTTGAATGGATCCAATCTATATTCAGTTCAATGAATTTAACTGAGTAAAAAGTAGCTTGTACTGTATGCAGATGACTAATATTTTGATATATTGGCATGCATTTCTAAAACATTTCATTGTTTCTTAAGTATGTGAAGTTGTTGGACACATTTCCTTCTGCTTTTTTGAATTGATTTATTCAAAACTGTTGGACTTATTTACAGTATTTAAGGCAAGTATGTTAGAAGTAACTGCAATTAAATTACCCATCCATGAAAAGTAACCTACTACTTTACATTTTCAGTACAAAAGTAATTACAGTAACACGTTACTTTGTAATTAATTACACCTAATATGTCCCAGACCAAACACTAGCCACTTTGTTACTAGTTACTAATTACACCCAATATAACACAGACTAATGCAACATAAATATGAATTGTTTGTCACTTTTTTATTTAATATAATATAAGAAACAATTACCTACATGAGTATAAACTGTTTAAAGGGAGTCTTAAAACTACATGTCAGGAAGAAAATGTTATGCCATAAAAAATGTGTGTCGTTTATGTAAATTGTTTTTATTTAGTCAGTGTTTTATTATTACTAATTATTATTATTATTAATGTTTAATAATACACATATACAGCTCATACTAGAATAGTAAACATAGTTATAATTGCATGGCCTGCACAGCCATGTTTCAGCATTAGGTGTCAGTCTGGTACAGTATTTTTTTAAACTTCCTCATACTGTGGTGCGATGTGTTGTGTTAGGTGTCCGCGAGCGAGCGAGAGAGCAGTGTGTCCGTGAGACTTGTGAAGCTGCCCTTCTGTTGACCCTTCATCCACGCTCTTCTCTCACGGTCATCCTGCAGGTCGTCCACGATGATGGATCTGTATCCTCAACACCAGCAAAACTCTTCTTTATAAATGCAAAATGAAGAGGGGGCAAATATGATGTGTCCGTGGTTTTATTGTTTGAACTTTTTAGTCACTTACCGTTGAAGGGAGGAGTTTGTTTTGAATATTTAGGGTTGAGTATTAAAGATTAGTATGTTTTATTACAATGAATGTATTAAAACGAAAAAAGTGGCAATATAGACTAAACGTACAAAAAAATTGAAGATTTGAATAATTGGCTTCTTTTAATACTCTTCAATTTTATTATGTTTTAACGCTTGTTAGGAATGTTTTCATCCACTCTGGGGTTATTTTGAGTCTTAATTTGGCCACAACTTGTTTCAGCAAGCGGAATGATTTTGGTGACATTTTATTTTGACAAATTTTTGCAATTTAAAAAAAAAAAAAAAAAAAAACCTCAACAATAGACTCAGCAGGGCAAGTTTACTACACTGGTCCTTTTCGTTATGTTAGTGGCTGTTTTTGCCCTATTGATTTCCATTATAATGACATTTTTTTGATTGCAAAGTCATGAAACCATATTGTTATGCATTCTTGATTGGTGGTGGTTTTTCTCTTTTGAGAAGAGGTACAATTAGTAATTTTTACTGTTGGCCATTAGTTGCAGTGTAAAAAAAGCATTAGTTTCTGGCTTTTATATAGAGTATTGTGTGAGTGTAACCAAGTGTAAGAGCACCTTTGCGTACTTACCTTGATATGTCTGAGAAAATTAAAATAAGCATCTCAGCTCTCAAAACATAGCAAACATGGTGTGTTTATGCACCCTTACTATAATTTGCTGTTATGCTTCAATAAACTCCATATAAAAGCTAGAAAAGGTTTTTTTGAACAGACCTATCTAAAGGGTTTATGCTGCCAACACCAGCAAAACAGTTTTTTATAAATGCAAAATGAAGAGGGGGCACAGGTGAGTTGGGTGGGCTAAACTGTCCGTTGTGTATGAGTGTGTGTGGATGTTTCCCAAAGATAGGTTGCAGCTGGAAGGGCATCCGCTGCGTGAAAAAACATGCTGGATAAGTTTGGCGGTTCATTCCGCTGTCGCGATCATGGATTAATAAAGGGACTAAGCCGACAAAAAAATGAATGGATATTACAACAAATGCATTAAATAAAAAAAGGTGGCAATATAGAGTACAAAAGATTGAAGATTTGAATAAATTGGTTTAAAGTTTTAACTATTTCCAAAAATGTCATTAATCAAAAACAGGCACTAATTCTTAGTGCATATATATATATATACACACACACACACACACACACAAATAAATGGTGAATGTGGTGGTTGGTAAGTAATGATAAGGATACTGTATGTACGGTATGTACTTATACATGATTTTAGTATTAAATACCAGTTTTTGTAAAAAAAAATAAATAACAATAAAACAATTATTCAACAATCGGTTTTATATTTTAGTTAAACTACCAAAAAATTTAAAAATGTATTAGTTAATGTTAATGTATATATTTCTTTGTAGCTAACATGCAACTAAATTATCAAAACATAATAAATAAATATTATTTCATTTATTCATTTTCTTTTAAGCTTAGTCCCTTTATTAATCTGGGGTCGCCACAGCGAAATGAACTGCCAACTTATCCAGCATGTGTTTACGCAGCGGATGTCCTTCCAACTGCAAATAAATAAATATGTAAAAGAAAATGGAAATTACGTGATTTACTATTTTACAGAGTATTCTTAAAAATTGTACTACATTACTTTCCTTAAAAACAAATGAGATTTATTACTTTACAGTAATAAGAAACTTTACCCTACACTGTTAATTTGTATTATTATTTTGCACTATTGCTATAAGGTTGGTTGTTTGAGTCCTGGCTGGACCAGTTGGCATTCATGTATGTTGGCATGTTCACCCTGTGTTTGTGTGGGTTTCCTCTGGGTGCTCTGGTTTCCCTCACAGTTCAAAGACATGCGCTAAAGGTGAATTTAATAAACTAAATTGGCCGTAGTGTATGAGTGTGAATGAGTGTGTGTGGGTGTTTTCCAATACTGGGTTACAGCTGGAAGGGCATCTGCTGTGTAAAACATATGCTGAAATGGTTGGTGGTTCATTCCTCTATAGCGACCTCTGAAATAGACACTAAGCTGAAGGAAAATGAATAAAGCAACTTCAGAGACTGACCCCAGATTCTTAGTGTGCATTAATATTGTTTGTTTTCTCTGTCCCGTTTTCTTTCATTCACACTGTGTCCCTACACCATGAGTCCTTATCTAACCGTCAGCTGCTGTCGTGTTGTCTAAACGCTGCCTGTATGGCTCTAATGGATGCCGGGCTGCCCATGAGCCGCCTTTTCTGTAGTGTGACCTGCGCCATTAGCAAAGAGGGCCAGATAATCACTGACCCCACAGCTCGACAGGAAAAGGTACACTTCACTTCCTGTTCCCTTGAGCCGACACGAACCATCCCGAGTAAACTAAACCTTTGATCTGTGTCTTTTTTGCTTTCTTTTCCAGGAAAGTCGAGCGCTGTTAACATTTGCCATTGATAGCAATGAGCGCAATGTTTTGATGTCATCGACTACAGGCTCTTTTTCAGTGCAGGAGGTGAGTGTTTGATTCTCCAGTGTGTGATTCATTGCTCTGTTTGTGTGGATGATACATAGGTACTTGTGTATGTTTCATAACCTGCTGGAATTCTCTGCAAGGCAGTGACATAAATGTGTTTTCTTCCTACACAGCTCCAGCAGTGCATCGCTATCAGTCAGAAGGCCTCGGAGCAAATCTTCCAGTTTTATAGGGATTCTGTCAAGCGGCGATATTCAAAGATGCAATAAAATATGCGTTGGGATTTTTTTTACTCGAGTTTGCAGTGTCTTTTCATGTACTTATATTTTTATTATACACTCAATTATTGTACTTTATTTAAAAAATACATAAAATAATTCTTATACATTAATAATAATCATTTATTAGTGAAAATTAATCATAATTAATTATTTTGTTTGTCTTTAACTTATACAATTGTTTTTTTTTTCACAAATTATACCAAAAACAAAGAGTTGTGAAATTTAAATTTAAAATCTTTTTTAAATTTTGAAACAAACTAAATAAAAAAAAATGCTCTCAATTTTAAGGTTTATTACAATTAGGAAAAATGACAACATAAAAAGGGAACTCTGATTTGTAAGATTTGTTTATAATTTTTTGCCTTTCACAGTCCTAAGGAAAAAGGTATGACTTCAAAAATTAAAGCATTTTTTGTTTGAATTTTAAGAAAAAAATTATAATAATTGTGGCGTATAAGTCTTGCAATTATTTATTTCCTTATTTTTCAAAATTGTTGATTTATGAACGTTCTTGTCATTCTAACTTTTGTTCACAAAATTAACATGTGTTTTTACATTAAATGTCTCACAGGCTTTTGAACCAGAGTATCCTCTTAAAGAGTCTTAAAATATCTTAAATCTCAAAATCTAAATTTTAGGCCTTAAAACATTTTAAAGGCTCAATCCCAATTCTACTCCTTAGCCCCTTGTCCTATTTCTCTTCAGCTTGAAGATGTAGGGCTAAGGGGAAGGGTTGAATAGCCCTTTGAATGAAGATTTTTCAGGACCACACTCAAAACCAAGGGGTAAGAAAATTTCCCAGAATACACCAGCCAAAATGGCAGTATTGCTGAACCGGGAAGTAAGGAGATCCACAAATTAGTTTTTTTTTCATTATTACGAATTTTTACGACAAACAAACACATTTTAATACTTTCATAACCGCATTCGTGTTTCACAGTTACGCTTAAAAAAAAAAAAGCTAAAAAACCTGCTAAATTTAGCAATCTATAATCCATAATCTTAACTCCTGTACAGCAGTCCCACAACATTCTGACACTCGAATACCCTGTCAGAAAAGTGTAGTGGCTGAGAATGAGCTTTTTACAGTGTCTGCTATGATGTTAATGTTGTTTTCGTGTGTTTACATAGATAAATATGGCCATTTACATAGTTTACATAGATGAATATTACCATCTTATTGCCACATTAGATCGTTATGATGACAATGTATGTGATTTCCTGAAGATAAAAACCCAAAAATAGCACAACTGGAATAACTACAGCAGTCGCGATCATCTGATCTCATAAGAAGCACAGGATCACGATTACATAAAATGACGTGTGCAGGTGCTGTAGTGCTGTCCCAATTCTTAAGGGTAAATTTTGAAGCCCTTCTCCTTAACCCTTGATTGTAAGGGCCAAGGGGAAGGGCTAGGGGTACAAAAATAGAATTGGGATTGGGCCTAAATCTACTGAAATATTGTGTGTAGGTCTTTAATCATAAGGTTTTGTTTTTCTGTGTAGCTACCTATACAATCCCAATCTCAATAAAACTTTAACTTTTTAATTAAAAATAGTAATTATTTTCTTCACAGTAACATTTGTTTAAAAGTTCTTCATTTATTTACTGCTAAAGATAATGACCTGACCTTATTAAGTTATTATTATTGTATTATTAAATGGATTAAACTTTTATTTATATCTAATTTTGCACTTTGATATTTTGTGACTGGTTGATTTTCATTACTAAATGAAGTATTGCATTATTTACAAACAGTTTGTATTTAAGTGTAGTTGGGGTTTTTTATGATCATTCAGAATGAGTTAGTAAAGGATTAAAAAATTATTTAAATCAATGTTTAAATATCTTATTATTCATATTGTAATGATTGGCATTGCAGTGGCGCAGTAGGTAGTGCTGTCGACAAACTGGATGAAGTTGAGTTAATAAAGCATTTGTTAACGTACAAAGTAAGTATTAGTACATACCTAAATAATAAGATTTCTAAATGTTAATTTGAATATTTATCATTTACTAACTCATTCTGAGTGATCTAAAAAACAACCTACGCTTAAATAACTGTTTTGTAAATAATGCAAACTTAATTTAATAATGAAAAATGAATCATTAACAAAGCATGAAAGTACAATTAACAAGCACATTGTAAATGTGGTTGTAAGTCAAGAACACAGCATTTGTAGCTGCACTTATAAAACTGCCTATACATTTATTAATGTAGAGTTAATGCTTAACAGATGAAGAAGTAACTATTTTTTAATTCTTATTAAATGGTTCATAGTGTGTAGTTGGTATAAAGTGTTACCATTGTTTTCAATAAGTATATTTGAATGAAATCTTTAGCATTTAGCCCTGTATAAGTCAAAATTTTTATTTATAATCATTTTAAAAATGTCTTAAATTTAACCTGGTGAAACATGCAGACACCCTGTTGATTACTGAAGTCTTGTAAATTTGGAATTGAAAGGAAGATTTTTTATTTTTAGAAAATAGAAATTTACGTTTTTTGTTTTTTTTTGCGTACCATGGTATTACAGGGTGTTGCGGGGTCTTAAAAAGTCTTAAAATGTTGACATTTTTTTTTTAAACAAAATGTTAGGCCTTAAAAAGTCTTAAATTATATATATATTTTTTTATTTTGGCAAGAATAACAGCAGTTTTTAATTTCTTAAAAGCCATTTTAAGGTCAAAACTATTAGCCCCTTTAAGCTATATATTTTTTTCAGATAGTCTACAGAACAAACCAGCATTATACAATAACTTGCCTTATAAACCAAACCTGCCTAGTTAACCTATAGTTAAGCCTTTAAATGTCACTTTAAGCCATAGAAGTGTCTTAAAATACCTAGTAAAATGTTAAGTTTTTATTGCAAAGAGTTTTCAAAGAGTAATTAAGTTTTTTATTGCAAAGAGATGATTATTTCAAAGTAAAAACAGCAAATTTGTTTAATTAAATTCCCTAATCAGGAAATGAAAACGAAAAATTATTTCACAATTCCTCACGATAATAATAGCAATATATCCCGTTACATAATCTTCCATTTACACAAAAACTATTTACAGACGAAAGTATGAGTGGACATAATATTAATAATGAATCTTAAGATTTTAGACAGAAATACATTGGGTTGAATGTTTTTTTTTTAAATATTTGTAGTTTTCTTTATAGTAAATATACATTGAACACATTAAAGTATGTGGTAAAGAAAGAACTACATTTGTTTTGTGTTTGTTTTTTTTTGTTTTTTTCCCAATTCCAATGATCCAACTGGGCAATTACCAAAAACCCTTATTGTTTAACCCCATATAAGTCTAAACTCTCATTCATAATGGTCTTAAAAAGTCTTAAATTTGACTTGATGAAACCTACAGAAACCCTGTATTATATAATTTTCCATTTTAATTACAATGTGAAATTGTTAGGAAATTGAGGATACTAATTGTTAAAGTTTTGCAAGTAAAATACTCATTTCACACAGCATGATTTGAATCGCAGACAGCTCCAGATATTTAGCACGCCAAATATCTCACAGGCGTTGGCGACTCATCATTCAGATCGCGTCTTTGATAGATCATACTGTGTGATTGTCACTCGCGTGCACGAGCACCGATTTGCCTGTGATTTTAGGCATTTGTCGTCGATTTCTCAAAACCTGTCGGCGAGTCAAAATCGGTGCTAAAATCATGCAGTCTGAAATCAGCATTAGCTGCCACGTGCACGCTTTAAAAGCTATATACGGGTGCATCCTAAACTGACGCAGAAACTAGATCTCTCGACTATTGCTTTGATTTCACAATTTTTAGAATTTAATTGCTTATTCATATTATAACATGTCTAAATGTGTATTCTGAAGGTTGGAATGACGGGAGTGTTAGTAATTAATGACCGAAAGAGTTTTCAGTTTTGAGTGAACAAACCTTTATGAGAATGGGGGGGAAATATGACAGTCGTTTTCATGCTAGCTGAGTAACTGTCTATAATCAAAGTAAGACATGAATATTTAACATGATTTTTACAAATGAAGCATGAGCAGACATTGCTTTGCATCTTATAAACACAATCAAGCTTTAAAACTACACTCTGGATCACCTCTTTAATGCCCACACTTAACCCATCCCCGTCCCTAACACTACCCCGCATAGTGGTAATACTAGCTCCATTGAATGCATTGTCTGACATTGCATCTCTGAGATATGGAATCTTAGGTTGCAAATCCAAGTCTGCATCCAGACACTATTGAAAAAAATACTAATATTAACCTTATTTAAAATTACAATATAGAGATTGAATCATAAGTTCATTGTTGGGAAATCTGTATTGAATTACCAGTCAAGTGTTTTATCAAAGACCTAAATTGTTTGCAATGCTGCACTGAGAAATGTGATTTTTGATTTGTTTGACACTTTCCTTATGAGATTAGCAGCAAAGTTTTGAGCCATGATTATAAAATGATAACTTTAAGAATAAGCAACTCACAGATTCTTGATTTTATTAGATTTTGCAAAACATTTTCTAATTTGCATTTGCTTTTATGATCTAGAGATCAAGTATTTGGCCTCAATGTATTATTTTGTTTGTGTTTTTATCATTACAACGCTTACAAGAACATACCATAGTAACATAATATATTGTTTTGGGTACAATAATAAACACTACAAATGTACTATTTAGGTGTATATAATAATATAAAACAACATAAATGGCTATGTTGCTGTTTAGGTATCATTGAGTATTTCATGTCTTTCATTCCTAATTAATGGAATTGGAAAAAATAATGCAATTTTCCTGAATAAACATTATTTATTTAAGAGGAAAAGAAACGTATTGACCCCAAAAAATTGAACTGTAGAGTTTTTATTATCTTCTTTGGAGAAATATTTTAATGTGTACAATTTCGATATAGATTATAGTTTCTTCTGTTAAACACAAAAGAAGATATTTTAAAAAGTAATGGAAATTGGTTACCATTGACTTCCACAGAAAATTATTTCATCTGGAGGTCAATGGTTACCA